CCCGGCCCCCCCCCCCCCAGCCACATGCCACCCCCACCCACCCAGCTACACACCCACCCAACCACACACTGCATGCACACATCCAGCCACGTGCCACATGCCACACACAGACAACCAGCCACATGCCACAGACACACCCAGCCACATGCCACACATATATCAAGCCACATGCCACACTCACCCACCCAGCCACACACATCCACCCAGCCAGCCACTTGCCACACACACCCCTCCAGCCATATGCCACTCTCACCCACCCAGCCACATGCCACACACGCGCACATACACACACACGCCACCCACCGACTCAGCCACATGCCACACATACACACATCCACCCACACGCCATACACACACACACACAGAGCCACATGCCATACACACACACAGACATACACACACGGAGTTACACACACACACAAGCCACACACACATGCTGCACACACCCAGCCACAGCCACTCGCCACCCCCACACCCAGGTGCACGCCACACACATGTGCCTCAGTGCCCAGCCTGGCCTGCCCCACAGTGGGACTCATGTGGTGCCACCACTGTCAAAGCAGGGGCAGAGAGGTGGGGAGAAGAGGTGGAGCAGAGGCTGCAGCTGCAGCTGCCCCTGCCCCATGCACAGATGGGCCCACGTGCCCCCCTGGGCTCCCCAGTGCTGCCTCTGGAGGAGTCACCAGGCTCCGAGTATCCCATGGCCCAGCCCAGCTGTGGCCACATTCACCGTGACTGGGGCCTTGGCCAGGCCAGGTCATGGAGCCTTCAGAACCTGGCAGCTCATGCAGGGGCACAGTGCCACGGAGCCCAGGGGGCGATGTAGGCCCCCCTCCTCCCAGCCCCCCGCAGTGCGCGCAGTGGTGGGAGCCACCTGTCCCCAGCCTTGGAGGAGCTGCCAAGTTCCCCAGGCCCCACAGCTCAACCCAACCTGAGCACAGCCCACCCCCCTGCCGGGCACAGTCTCAGCCCCAGTCTCCCCGGCCCTTCCAGCAGCAGCAGCAGGCCACCGCGCCCCCCCTTCCCTTCGTGCCCCCCATGCCCACTCCCCATGTGGCACCCTGAGGCCGCGCCTCATTCTCCCTGCCCAGAGCACCCTGCACCCACTCCCTGCAGCACCCTGCGACCATGCGCCAGGCCCCACCACATGCCCTGCCCCCACATGGCCCTGCCCCCCTGCAGGGCCACGACTCTCACCTCCCCTTCCCTAGTCCCCACCGCCTCCACCTATGTGTCTATCTGTCAATAAGGCTCCAGGCAGCGCATGCGCAGTTGGCCCAGAGCGTTATGGACAGACAGATGCACTGCCAGAAGTGCTACGGCTTTTATTATATTAGAATATCTATGTTATGTTAACACATCTATATATATGGTTCTGGTAGCAATATGTAAAAAATTATAAATATACTCAACATATAATAGCAGATCACTTGGGGAAATGCATCATTGGGCTCTAGAGGGAAAGTTGCACTCTTTCAGTTAGAGTGCACAATAAATAGGTACATTTTTATGGCACAACTGAATTGCTTGTGTATCCTTTATGCAACTATCTTCTATTCAATGGTACTGGAAAACAGAGTTCTTATTTATGAGCTAGTAGTACTCTGTACTTGTCTGTCCTGAAATGTTCTTGACAGATTTTTCTTTGCATGCTTTTAAATTCTGATGGATGTTCTTTGTCTGTTCTTGGCCCTTAATGCACATCTAATCTTTTACTCTTGTCTCTGTATCACCAGGCCTCCTGAACCTGTTTACAGCACTGTGAACAAACTGTGTGATAAGCCACCTTCTCCTAGGCACTATTCCCCTCTCGAATGTGACAAAAGCTTCCTTCTTTCAGCTCCCTACCCCCACTACCACGTAGGCCTGCTCCCTGACTCTGAGATCACCAGGTACTGCATGCGCTTTTTTCTCACTTCCTTTATTAGAATGCATGAGCATCAGTAGTTATAGAGTAATCCCAGCCTCCCTAATGTTCCCTCTCCTGAGGCTTGTGCTTGTCTTTAACCTGGCTTTCACCTCCGCAGCACTGTCCATTGGGAAACGCATTGTACCTCCGTATAATGCTATGGTTGCCAAAAAAAAGTGGTGAATACAAGCAATTTAAATCCATAGGAATGGCTCTCTCAAGTGCTTCACATTAAATATATTTCATGCTATAACCTAACTCTGCATTTGTTTTACTTCAGAAATAACTAAGAATTCACCATCAATTGTAACAGGGGAAGCTGATGCCATAAATTAAGCTCTCTTCAGCTGATGTATTTTGTTTTATTTGATGGGTACATCCTGAGATCATTTAAGGAATGTTAACAAAGAGTAATCACTTCCCCAGCCAAATACTGGCTCATTCTGTCCCTGAAATATTGCATCCCCGAGGATGGCAGCATACTGATGAGAGATGAAACTATGGAAACAGTGAAAGGAGTTGTGTTGTTGTGTGCTTACCATTGTCTGAAGTTTACCTTATTACAAATGGTTAATCAGTGAAAATTTCCTTAGACCAAAGTAATCTTTGTCGGTATTTTTCAAAATGATCAGTTAACTGTTTTCAGATATAATAATTAGGGACCTCCTGAAATCACAATTTCACAGATTTTATGGAAAATATGAAATTTGGCATTGCCCACAAAATCAGGCAATGTCTGCAGAATCCACAAAAAAAAAAAAGAAAAAAAAAAGAAAACTTACTGAAAGTAAAATACTGGCTATCCTCATGGCACTGCTGTCCGGCCGTGCAGCCCACCATGGGGAAAGAGGGGAGACATGGGCAACTGGTGCCTCCTGAGCCTGGGGGGGTGCACCTGTGGAAGCCAGCGTCAAGGACGGAGCTGGCAAACACCTGCAGATGCCGGTGGGAGGGGTGGGGATGGCCCTGTTAGGGCAGGGGCATGTGCCCCCCCATGCCACCCTATCAATCACCTAGGGGAGAAGAGGAGTCCAAAATAGTTGCTGCCCCCACCCTTTGGTGATGATTGGCTGAGAGGACTGCCTGTCATGCGGCCACATCCTTCTCCACCAATCAGTGATGAAGGGTGAAGCTGCATGATGGACAGTCCTTGCAGACAAACAGCAGCAAGAGGCAGGGCCACCAGAGCCCCTGGGCTATTCACAGGTGAATGGCCATGATAAGCCCTTGAAAATGGCATCCAGCCTCGTGAAATCACCTGGCTGTCTCCTCAAGATGGGTAATGATAATCGAACAGACAAAGAATTTAGGAGGATAAAATTTAAGGTTAGATTTTCAAAAGTGAATAGTGATTTGGAGCATTTCTGTTTGGCTGCTGAACTGGAAGGGGTCTGGAAAGGGCCTGATTCTCAGAAAGTACTGATCAAATCACCAGCTGCCTGAAAACCACTCCTCTAAAGCATCACTTCAAATCACTGGTTCCTTTTGAAAATTTACTCTTATGTGCTGGTCCAAAGACAATTTTTTTTAGAAGCCGATACTGCAAATCTAAAATAACTGAAATATGTCCAGAACTTGGCGTAGAAGTGAAACCTGTCAGCAACAAAGTTTAGAAAGGATTTTGAGGAAACAGAGCAACTGATCATTAATATCTGATTATCATTCAAGAAGGAACAAATAGGCTTATGGGAGATATCACAGGAAACAGACAATGTTCTGTATTTAGATGGCTGTTTTGAGATAAGCCTTAGAATAATAGAAGTTTAACAAAATATGACAGTTAACCAATATCACGTTTGGCAAAGTTGGACACGTGTTTCAAATAGTCGCTTATAAATCAAATACATTGTAAAAAGTTGTAATGAGAAAGGCTCTTTTCTTTAACTTCAGTTTAATTAACATTTTGCTACTTTATAGTAAATTATCAGTCTGGAAAGTATGGATGCAGCACTTATCCTTAGGACAGGCTGGCATAATGATGAATGCAGAATATGTTTTGGGTAATTCTAGGATTTTTGGTACCTTCAAACAAATCCCTCTTTTTTCCTTTAATTTTCTTCTTAAGCCTCTCCCTTCAGCAATCAAATGCATTTTGGCTGTGCATCACTTAACAATAGCTGCTTTTATACATTTACATTAAAAAGGCAAAACGCAGTTACAGAAATGCCTGGAGCCATCAGCAATCCACAAGTTACATAACAGATAATGTATGTACCCAGATGGTCTTAATATAATTACTCTAATACTTCCTTCCTTCTTCCTTCCTGTTGCTTCACCCTTGTTCGGTATGCATGTTTCTTGCATCTTTTATCAATGCGGATTTTGAACTCTTCTGAGGTAGGGGCCATTTCTGTTGCGCATTTGTACGGTACCTCATGGGGGTCTGGCCCATAGCTGGAGCTTTTAGGTGCTTTTGCAATACAAATAATACATAGAATAAATATTTGGAGTAGAGCCCAGGAGCCTTGACTTCTGCCTTCCCCGTGAAGGGTCTCTGGTGCTAACGTTCCCGTAAAGTAATCCCAAAAGTCAGAGCAATTTCTGTGGAACAAGCATTATCCTTAATAAGCTGGGCTGAAATAATAAATACAATCATATCTGCAGTTTTATCTATAGAGCAACATTTAGAAACAGATTGTTAAGGATAAAGCACTAGCAGAGCGCAAAGCGAGAAGATGAGCAGAATTATTGAAGTGGAAAGTCAATAGGTGAATTAATGTCAGATAGTAACAGGAAAAGAACAGCAAGATGTAGGAAAACATGTGAAAGGCATTGCAGTGCTGTTAAGTATTAATTTAAAAGAGAATAAGCAATAAGCTAATAAAATGAGTATGACCAAATACAGTAAGAGCATACAATACCTGTCAGGTTACAGGAAGAATATTAGGGTGAAAGTTTCTAAGATGTACCTAGAACTGCAGGAGGCCTGGTTTACTGTTGCTGTAATGTAAATAGTCTGCACTAATATGAAGTGTAAAACATCGGCATTTTGGTTAATGACATTTTTCACTAGTAGAAATGAACTTTGCAAGAAACAGGACATGATGAATCAGTCCCTGACTATCTGAACACTCCTACATACAGCACATTAAAATGGATTCCTTCCAAGTCCTGACCAAAAAGCAAGAGTATGTTCTTTCTTACATAGAGATTTAAATCTGCAAAACTAATAATGCCTTTGTGATTGGAAGTAGACAGCAAAATAGTCCATCAGAATCCTACATCCCTGTTTTCCTGCTATAAAGAGAAAAGACACCGAGCTAGACAATGGGACAGAAGGACTCCAAGAGAAGCTATGGGCTGGGAGAGGTTCTTCCTCAGCTTGGGTTTTTTGAGAACCCGATCCCACTGCAGGATTTGTGAGTAATATGCTACCTTTAATTGGACCAACTTATGTAGTTGGGAGATAAAGGAGACATGCTTTTGGGCTTCAAATACCCTTTATTGGGTTTGGAAAGAAACCCAGGCTTAATATGACTTAGAGCAATTACTTCTGGTTTTGCCTAACTAATCTACTGAATTTAATCACCTCAAAGGGAAGTTGTCACCTGTGAAGCAAAGAAAAGTTAACCAAGAGAGGTGAAGAGTAGGTTATAACATACCACAAAATTAATGTGACTATTAAAACCATGTTTTTTTGGGTGTCTCAGAGTTATGAATTTCTGTTCCAAGCCTATCTGCTAAAGGTATTGTGTAGACTTCCTTTGAGGATGAGGATGGTGAAGTCTGAGATAGAACAGTTGTTTTGTGAAAAGTGTTTTCCCACTGGTAATAGAGCATTTTGTCCTATGCCACTTTTCTGTGGAAGTTTATTGTGGAGCACAGTGGTGTCTTGGTTTCATCAATACAGTTCCCAAGAGAGCATTAGGTATATTGAATGAGGTCTATCATATATTATAATCGGCATGTTCCGGATTCATGAACCACGATGCTTTTGTTGTGAGGAGTGTAGATCAGCCTGTTGGTGGAGATGAATTGGCTTTTCCTGTTTTGGCAAGGTCCAGTTCCTTCCCCTTGTTAGTCACTGAAACTTTTCTCCCCATGATGAGTTTCTGGTGAGGCTGGGGACAGTTTAAATGCTTATTTGAGGAAATTTCTTTCAAGTCTTTGAATGTAGGTGAAATTGTAAGAGAGCTCATCAAATAGATTGTAGTGTGGGATTGGATGTTACAACCAGAGGTGTGCAGCCTGGATGCAGGGTCCTTTTTGTTTAGTAGTAGGTATATTGTTCTTTGATTTCTATTTGGTGTCTATTTGATCATGGCAGGCTGTTAACTACAGGCAGCTGCTCTTCTTTGCTAATGAAAGGGCAGAGAGATGAAGGGCACTCCCTCTAGGGTGGAACATGTGGGCAACCTGATATGCATTTTTTTCATTAGGATGGCAGCTTCTGGAAATAAAGTTTCATGTGCTGTGAGCTAGGTGCTCAGCAGGGATCCTGGTTTTCTCAGATAAAAAAAAAACAATGAATTTTCAGATTAGTGGCGTTTCATTTTAATCACGGGAAAATGTGGATTTTCGGTTACTTTTTTAAATCCAAAAATTGGGGATTTTTTTTTTTATTGGAGAAAACCAGGATCACTGGTGCTCAGTTAGTCTAAATCAGAGCCCCTAGTGGCGTGTCCATACATGCAAGCACGTGCGCTTGCAGCAGCTCAAATAGAAGCGGTGCAAATTTGAGCCGGGGCTTTTTGCCTCAGCGCACGTGCTCGGACATGCACTTTGTTGTGGAGCAAATTGTGCCACTAGGGGCAAAATAACCCTGCCTGGCTCCTCCCAGATCTTCAGCCAGGGGCAGTTAGAGCCCGGGGCCCGCACCTGTGCTGTCCCCAGCAGTATAAAAAGCTGCACTGTCCTGGCCCCAGCAGTATAAAAGTCGCCCTGGCAAGTAGCTCAGGGCTACTCGCGCTCAGGAGCTTCTGGGGCCCAGCCAGCTGGTACCTGTGGACACTGCCCCTTGTGCCAGCTGGACTGCTGAAGCAG